TCTAAAGAAATATTGATCCTGGGGCTTCGAGGAAATCCGATGCCACGCCTAAACCACAAAAAACTGAGAGTTCGCTTGATTCCCATTTTAAACAGAACACTTTGGACTATCTACATATGAAAAAAAATCGATAGATTGCCGGTTTAGTTTTGAGAAATACGAAGTGGTTTTCCAGAGATCCTTTGAAAACTCCATCTTTAAAATTTTTCCGAAACGAGTTTTTGCTTATGAAAACATAGCTTAACACATTGCACGCTGTCCACTGATATATCAGTAGCCCAATTTGTTCTATTCAATGATGTCGTCAGCGGACAATGGGTTAAAGTATTGGCTATCGAATGTTGAAAACTGCATATTAATATCTTGCGTTGTTCACGACTTATAAATAGATTTAATTCATGTTTGTTTAAACAGACATTAGGAATGAACGGGTTAAAGAAGTATTTCTAATATAAAAATATATCGATCGGTTTTCCTCGATTAACTGGCAATAAGAAGTTTACAGTCTATTCGGAAATGACTTAGCATTTCTCTTTGGGTTTATTATATATAGGCAAGTGTTACGATGATTATTTCTCCGCTTTTTATAGGCATTCCATTGAAACCAATGTTAGCACATCCAACAAAAGGCATTGATGAAGTATTAAAACGTTTTGGTGATTCTGAGTTTGCTTGTGAATATAAATATGATGGTGAAAGAGCACAGGTAAGATTAAAATGATCTCCTATGTAAAAAATAATTTGTTTTTATTTTTCTTGTTTTATTCATAGATTCATGTCTCTGATGATCGTACAGTTTATATTTATAGTCGAAATTCTGAAAATAATACAACAAAATATCCTGATATCGCAAAACGAGTTTTAGACTGTTTAAAACCCAATGTCAAATCGATTATTATTGATTCAGAAGCTGTTGCATACGATTTAGAACATAAAAAAGTGTTACCATTTCAAATATTATCAACAAGAAAAAGAAAAGTATGGTGATCTATCTTCATATTAATCAGTAAAATTATACTTTTATTTGTACTAGGATGCAGATATTAATGAGATTAAAGTTCAAGGTAAATGATTGATTATACACAGATTTGGACATAGTAACGTTGCTATTTTTATCTTTTAGTTTGTATATTTGCATTTGATTTATTATATTTAAATGGTGAATCATTAGTTCAAAAATCGTTTCGTCAACGTCGTCAATTATTACATGATTCTCTTGAAGTTGTTGAAGGTGAAATGATGTTTGCAACATCAAAAACAACATCAGATGTAGATGAAATCAATCTACATTTAGAACAATCTGTTAAAGGTAAAGAAAAATTGCTCAACATTGATTTTGACTAACTGTTTACGACAACACGTTAACAGAACAACGTTTATTTGACCCTACGAATGAATTTGTGATAGTAGAATCTATCTGAGATAAACAGCTTTCGTCCGATTGAGACTTGTTCAAAAACAGAACGGAAACAATGATCGTTATTCGATTTTTTAGATGGTTGTGAAGGTTTAATGGTCAAAACATTGGATAATGATGCCACTTATGAAATATCAAAACGATCACATAGCTGGTTAAAAGTATGTCGCTTACATGAAGTGTGTTTTAAGTGTGTATATGTATCGACTAATCTATTTGTTTTTGTTCTAGTTGAAAAGAGATTATTTGGATGGAGTTGGTGATACACTTGATTTGGTTGTGATTGGCGGTTATATAGGAGCAGGTGAAAATAATGACTCGAATATGACGAAAAAATTATAACGATTATTCAGATATTTTGAGTTTAAGTCCTAAAATGGACCAACTGATGCACAGCGTTTTCTCTTAGAACACACCTTTTGTGCAGGCATGCTCAATGTACGGCACTTTTTTCAATAACGGCTCATCGTAGAGAGACTTTCTTTTTTCTAATTGAAAGAACGGACAATCCTACGTGAGCTCATGGGAGCCGAATTTTCAATTAGACCTTAGTTGTTTAGAAGATCATGATCTGTAGCAAATGTAAAAGGAGGTTGAGGAATTAATTATAGATGGTTTGAGATGAAGACATTTTTTTCTTGTTCTTGTAGGGAAACGTACGGGTGTTTATGGTGGATATTTGTTGGCCTGCTATGATAAAGATAATGAAGAATATCAAAGTATTTGTAAAGTATGTTTTTTTATGTATATTAAATCGTTATTTGGCAGTTATTTACAACGTCTCTACCTCTATAGAGATTTATGGTTTTAAATCTATTTACATATATTGTTCATGTTGATTACCCATCCCTAATATATCTAAAAGTATTTTTATGATATGTTGAATCGTTCTAAGTATTTATACTTGCTTACGTGTGATTAATTCCTTGTCAATGAGTCTTTCGTTAAAGATCATCTATTCAATCGATAAGATGTATTTTACTCAAGTTTCTTGGATACTAAAGTACATGCAATTGAGTAGACCATAATTAAGGCTATTAACTTGTTTCGTACTAGATCCGATGATATCCCACTTAACTCAGTTTCATACACAGTCTACTCAATTGTGTGTCCCTTTAATGTTGCTTATACAAGAAATCTGAGTAAAATACGTTGTATTGATTGGATAAGTGATCTTTAACGAACGACTCATTGGCAAAGAATTAATCACACATAAGCAGATGTAAAAATACTTTTAGATGTATTAGGGATAGGTAATCAACATGAAACAATATATATATTCAGATGGCTCGGTCCTTTGTCACATAACTGGCTGGTACTTTTTAAACCATCTTTTTTTTGATACTTTAGTTGGGTACGGGTTTCAAAGAAGAAAATTTATCTCAACTGGCTGAGTCATTTAAAACTAGTATAATCCCTAAACCATCCAATTATTACCGGTTTTCGTCAACACTAGAGCCAGATCATTGGTTTGAAGCTTCGAAAGTGTGGGAAGTGAAATGCGCGGATTTGACGCTCTCCACGAAACATTATGCTGGAATGGGATTGGTAATTGGATTAAAAATCTGCGCTTTGGCCCTATTATGCATTTTATTTGTGTTTTAAAGGTTGATGATGGCAAAGGTATATCATTACGATTTCCACGTTTCATTCGAGAACGAGACGATAAAACAATTGAAGATGCAACAACAGCAGATGAGGTTTGACTTGTTATTTCTCCTTGTAGACGTATTTTTTACTAACCAATATTTGTTGGATAAATGTCATCGTTTCGTTTTATTTCCACCAGGTTGCTCAGCTATATCGTCAACAACAAAAAACTCAATCAAATAATAAAAAACAAACTACAACAGGGGATGATGAAGATGACGAATCGTTTTACTGATAAAAAGCTCCACAGTTCTCAAGTTGAGAAAATGAGACGGCTTTCGCATTCGAGTCAGATACAAATGTGTAAATACCTATTTTTTTGTCTAAACTCAAAAAAATTAATCTTTTTTTGTTCATAGTTAAATTGATATTATTTGTTTCTCTTCTTTTGTTTGTCTTTTTGAAATAACAAATGGGTAAAGAAGAAATAAATAATGAGTATAGAGAATGAGAATCAACACGAAGTCAGTTATTCATGTAACAGTATTGAAGCATGACACGTTCAATCTGAAATTTGTAGACGTTTAGAATTTAATGTGGCAACAATTTTCATCATTTCTATGAGTATTATTGAGTACTCTTTAGTTAATTTTCTGTTAAACAAGCGTGTAAAGAAGAAGAATAGTAATACATGGTTCACGCTTTCAAGCCGTGCAGCACGTTAACATCATGTTGTACGAAACAGTGAAAGAATATCAAGATAAACATAGAAGATCAAACTACAGACACAACGTATGATTAGCAAAAAACATATGATACAGAAATTAGCTGAATTGGAATTAATTTCATCACCTTCTGTTACTTCCAATATGTTCAACTTATGATGTATTTGCTGATGTAAAACAGTTGTTGATGCATCTCCAATGTGAGCGACTATTGCGTCAAGTTATACAAATACAGTTGTACCGCACTTAACTTCATAAACATCAACACTTGCTTCACTAGTGAATATATTAAATAGTGCTACTCCAGTGTCAGCTAGCGAACGTTTATTATGACCAACACAACTGTACTTCAAAGAACCAGATGGTAAAGCAATCATCCACCGTACAGTTGTTCGATGTTCAAGACGTACATCAACCCTGTTAGGTTTAAACGACTTATATTACACAGGTCATTGCTTCGATATAGGCACAGCAGCAGAAGGAGGATTAATTCATCATCTAATTTAGGTCTGAGAGTGCTGGACTTCGCTATTCTACTAAATGTATGTTCGTATAAACAAATATATTCTACAGTAAGCACATATTAAACTCGTCAATTAAAGTCTATTTCTATTTTTATAATGAAATTGTTCATATCCGATCATATTTATTAGACTCACTCTTATTGATATATTTATTTTCTAAAAGATCAACAATTAATTTCTACCTCTACCTCGAAGTTAGAAAATGATAGCATAAGGAATGCAGAACGAAAAGTCACAAGTAGATAATCATCAGTCGTTCATTTATTTACCCGCTATTAATCACAGTTTCTTTCCACTTGTCTAAAATTTGATATACTAGAAAGTGTTTTTCCGATATCATTTGGATGGTATAAATGGTATAAACATTGTTTCATTATATGCAATGCTAGGAGTAACCATTTTGTTTTATTGTACTCAACTTTCCCAACGCTTTCTACCAGAATATGTTAGTACAAGTCATTAACTATGAGATATACTAACTATTTGTGCATTCTATTGATGGTAGAGAATTTGTATTGAACTAACCCAATGTAATTTGAGAATATTTAGATTTTTGTATAGATTTAAACTGTTCAAAATCAAAAGGTATTGATATAAATATACAAAATATTAAAAAAAAACGAGACTACAGAAACAATTTCTGTCGTTAAAAGAGCTAATCATATTCGTAAGTAATTTAAAAATATTCCTAAACTCGAAAAATTCTCTCGTTTTTCTCTCTTTAATATTTGTACTTAAACTTTATTATTTAACTACCATCGTGTTAATTTAGATGTCACTTGCTCTATTTAGTTGTGCATTTGAATTTGCTTTATTCGTTAAAAGTAAGAGCGATGCTGGTATCTGAGGCTGTTGTGATGATCGTGACATCAACATTATTTGCTGTGAGAAGTTGTTACTCATATTTTGATGATCATTTGGCTGATTATTATTATTAATGTTCTTTTCAACTAAACAAACGATACTACGTTTTTTCATTAATTCCAATGCTTCCATTGGATTATTGTGATTTGTTTTTAATTTATTTACTCGATTAAACAGTACTTGTTCAAAAATAGCTCGTTGAGTACCATGGAGTAATGGATCATATTGACGGGTTGGTTGATAGCACGAAGGATACGATGAGGTTGAGATGCATTGTTGATGATGTAGTGGATGATTATTCAGCGAAATGACTGGTGGTGAAAACTCTAAAGTGCTTTTTGTTTCATAAACATTTGATTCTGGTTCACCACTCGATTGAACTATTTCTGGTATCATTTGATTTTCTAAGGCTAATGGTGAAACACAATATTTTCCAACAAATTCGTCATCATCTGTCGCTTTAGTCGGTTTTTTATCCAGTTTTAATAAATTTTGAACCGATAACAATGTGAGACCATTGCCCATATCTCTTAATGTTTGTTCATGTTCTTCATCTTTTGAAAACGAATAAATGAAGGTAAAACTCAATTTTTAATGAAGTATAAAACTTACTTATTGCATACGTGAATAAATTATCAAATTGTATGGAATACACAATTGTTGGCAAATAATTAAAATCAAGCATAATTTTCAATAGATGATCGTGCCTTCTTAACTAAAACTAACCAAATTTTAGTCATACTACACATTTTTGGAATAATCCGTAGAAACAAGTAAAAAATTCAGTAGAATAGACTGTTAGTTAACAAGAGATTGTTCGAGAGAACATAAATTTGTGTATAAGTGTAATAAATTAACTCATCACAAAAGTTCTTTTATTAAACAAGCATACCAGTTTTGACACGTTACTAGTAAATAATTTTCCATTTGTTCTCCATTGTCTTCCATTTCCAAATGTCACGGAACATTTATACGGTTGTATTTTCCATCGAAGACCATGACGATGATATTGATCTGTTTTATGTAAACTTTTTTTAAACCATTTTATTAATAATTGAGTAAAATCAATCTTAAAAGAAGAAAAACATCAGTAACTTGTTATATAATAGTTAGAGATGATCGACTACAAGTACAAAATTTCTAAGATTTGGACAAAGAAAAGAAGGAATAGAAAAGGACACCTTATTTTGACCAATTCTATTATCTGTTTTATCTAGATAAACATAAAGATGTATGTCATAAAATTAACATTTCTCCTCTCATATAACGTCTATTCTGTACAGGCTAATATTAGAACACTTTTGAGTACATCGATATTAACAACCGCTTTGTTCAGCAGCTATAATAACAATTATTTTTTATAAATCAAAATATTCGTGTACTTTTTTGAATGAATAAGAATACAAATATAGCAAATTTTGTACTCGCTCATCTCTGATAATATCGACTCACAACTACATAAGCTGGTTGTGTTTCACTGAATGTATTGTGTAACGAATGAAATGCTTTGAGTAATTCACATCGAACAAATGGATTCGATACATTTAACAACATAATAACATCTCCTTAAAATAAAAAAAATTAATTATAATCATAATAAGAGAAAAAATGAGAAAAGAATAACAAACCATAAACTGTAGGACTCTTATTTGAATTAAAACAATATCGTTTTGAATAAACTAATTTTGATATAATTAACCAATCGTCGGCATTTGTTAACACGGGTATTAACGATGCTAAGGCAGCACCAGATGTTATTGTCACATTTCTGAAAATTTAAAAATTATAGTTAATGTCATATTATTTCTCTTACATACCTTGCAAAACAATTACTCGTTTTTGTATGAATACCAATTCGTTTTCGATCTAATTCATCGGCAAATAAAATTGTATTCTCAGGTAAACATAATTCACGTTCACATATGGTTTTTTGATTCAAAAATATAACATTTGTTGTAGAATTTTTATATTTTGATGTTTTTTTCTTTTTTGGAAATATTGAATTTATTTTATTACTAAAGGGTGTAATACCTTTTGGTGTCGGTTTTTCTTTATCATGTTTAAATGTTAATGTCTCTTTCAAAATTGACGGTGATTGTAAAAAATCACGTAATTCAATTAATTTTAATGGATATGAATCCATATATATATTATAGATTTAATAAACTCTTAAATCCACCTAGCTTCTTTCTTCGTTTCTTCAAACTATGTTCAGTTCAAAAGAAAGGTACAGGTGTTCATGAACATTGGTAAAAACCTAATCGTGCATGAACGTTTGTTTGTTATCTATGAATGGTTTTTTTATCTAATATGCACATCTCTTATTTTAAACAAAATGATAGTTGATCAGTTGCCTTCAAAAACTAAACGTTATTTTCTCTTTAAATGGACACACACATTTTATATTATATATTCAGTTTAACAAGTCCCAAGGAGAATTTTTCGAATGCATTGACCTGTCTGAAAGAGAAATAGTTACAACGACAATTAGAGTCTCTCATTGTTGTAACTGAATAAAAAATTTCATATATTCGATTTCAACTAACTTGACGTTTCTTTTTTTATTCAAATATTCAAAAACCAAATATATTAATAAGTTAAAGCCTTTTCGAGTCTATAAGGATCTACAAAGTATTTATAACATATTAATGTATACAATGAACGAGTGTACTTAATAAAATTCTTAATAATAATCTTACACTGTTTGATGAAATCGCATTTTCTTGTATGAATCAACAATTTTTAAACAAATCAAAGATGTTTTGGTTTTTCATAGTTTTATTTCCTACGGTTTTAATATGATGGTTTTGCTTTGATGAGTTTAAAACTTTAAGAAAAATCGTCGACTTTGATAGAGAAGAAATAAAGAATAGCTTCCGCAGGAATCGAATCTGGGATGCCTGGCGAGTAGGAATTATAAGACTGAGGCACAAACAACTGAATTGAGAAACTTAAAGAAGTAAGTTTTTGGGCTGCACAATCATCATGTTTTCGAATAGACTTCAAAAAAATTCAACATCTTATCAAAAGCTATCGCTGTTTAATTTGTAAACCCTCTCTATCGCAGATACATTTGAGATATGAAAACGAAACGCTAGCTGTATAGGTGCGCACAGATACCATATGATATCTTTGAGTATATTCTGTGACGAATGTCTAGGCAGTAATAATTAACAGGGAAAGATATTCGCTGTATCCCTCTATCAACCCTGCGAGATTATCGGCATCAGAACAATTTTACAGAACAATTTTATTTTGCTTCAAAGAAAAATTTGTCAAACATTAAATTTCACAAAACAGCCAGATTTTGCAGAAATATGCATTGGAAGACTTAAGAAAGGAGACTCCGTGAGAAAATCGAGAATGCTGTAAAAAAAGGATAAAATCTTTTTTAAATACGATTTTCAGATTCTTCATTCAAAGTTACCTATATATCCGAGTTTTAGCCTTTGAAAACTTTTCATCGTTGAGAAAAAAAATTAAAAAATAGGTTTAAACTAAGATGGGTTTGTATAGTTGAAGATTGTTCTTGTCAATTGTTTTAAAAGACGATAAAATAACGTGTTAAGTGGTATCCATGGACATGAAAATACACAATATTTGACCATGTAATGAGAATAATTTCTCAGATAGTCAATAGAGATACATCATATACCTAATTTCATTTCATTCAATTCATTTTATTCACTAATAATAGACCTTAGTACGTATGTGCCAAATTGTACCTCAGTTGAGAAATTTGTGAAGTCCATATTTTATCAAATGTATCTGAGTCCGAATATTTTCGCAGAATTGATTTCACAACTGAGATACTTGATTAAAATATGGATTGTATCTCATATAAGACGTTACGACAATTTTGTTATTAAAATATCACGTGTTTATCCATGGTTTGTAGAATTATTTTATGCTAATTGACTTTTTGTTGTACCAGAATCATAACATACAATGGATAATAGATTTTCAACATTAGTGAGGATGCTAATGCTATTCAACCGTATAAATCATGTTTAAAACAAAATTCAATAGTGTTTGACTTCTACTACAACGAAGATCTTTTACTGTATCAATTAGTACACGCAATTTAGCTGTTCAATATGTCGGACAAAGCGAGAAAATATGAAGAAAAAAATGAATTTAGTAAATTGGAGATCATAAGTTTTGTTATGTGTGTGTGTGTGTGTGTCTGTATACTTGAAATTCTTTTTATTATTCTGAAAAATCCGAAGCATCGTCAGCAAGTGTCAGTGATCTGTTCGGTACCTACTCTTTTGCGATTTAATTATGGTTTTGAATAATAGTGGCACTCATTTCAGTACACATCATTATAGATGAATATATTCGTTTTCTTAAAAAATCATCCGAAGAAAACCAAAGCCTCAAAGTTTTCTATGAGATTCTGTGATTTTCAAAAGACTAAGATTAATATTATACTTTTTCTGGTGTTTAACATATGTTGTTTTCACGAATAAGGTAGTTTAGAGTAGGATTTTACTATAAAATTCATACGCCTAATATTCACCTATATGGTAGTTATAATAGTTGTATTAAATTATGAAAAGTTTTCGAAAAACCTAACTTAAACATGTCATGTGATGCAGAGTTCTTGCATCGATCATGAATCCGTCGTTAATTCAAAAACAAAACCGAAGAGAAGTGGAAAAAAAATAAAAATACCCGATTTTTCAATGTACAGTTCCAGATGATTACAGATCTCTATTTTTAATTATTTTATCTGGTTTTAGAGCACTTTTAACATGAAGACAGTTTGTTCTATTTTTTCAATAGATTTTTGTAATGCTTTAGGTAAAAAATTCATATTTTCATGCGAAAAGATATTTTTGTTTACCAAATCGTGCTCATTCGATTCTCTACACAAAACTGCAAAAGTGATGAAGTTTTTAAATCTTCAAAACATTTCCTCATGAAAATATGAATTTTTTACCCGAAACATTCATAGTTTTAGTTCTTGTTGCTTTATCTTATTTTATTTTATCCTGAGCAAGGGAGGACGACCATTGCAACAAAGAAATTTCGATATTCTTCTGTTTCTCCCCGTTGCAGTGTTCAACATGTTCATAAGAACAAAAAAGAAAAGAACGAAAAAGTGGGTCAATAGGCAGTCAAAAGCGAAAAGCAAAAAGTGGGGATGAAGAAAAAGGAGTGAATGTATAATATATAGTGTGTATTTTTATAGTAAACTACAGCTGATGATATGATTACAGATCGTAATCGAAAGTTTCGAGTTTTTTTAAATAAAAAAATGAATGATTGTTGTGTGCATACAATTGCTATTATCTTTATTGAATTTATATTACAGCAAACGATATTGATAAAAAATAATTAATTATTTTTAATTGATTTGGCCGAAAGTCTAAACTGATATAAAACACCTAAACTTATCTAAAATAACTATTCTCTATTTTCTACTAAATTTAATTAATTTTTTCTCAAAAAGTATATATTTTTGTTGTAACTTGTAGTTCTTGATAAACATTTTTCTAATTGATAATCCTTTCTTGAAACCAAATACCACTTTCATTTTTGGAAACATTTTCTCTATTTTTATTTTAACTTATCAATCATGATTTTTGTTTCATTACCATAATACGGTAATGATGCAGAAAAAGATTTTCTTCTTTAGTTTTGATTGTTTTTCCACTGTTGCTGTGAATGTTATATTTTGCTTATTATATTGTTGAATTGTATTTTGGTGATTTTTCTTTTCACTAAATTAACAGAATGCCCATTTCTTCTTAAACATTGTTGTATATATTCACTATTCTTTCAAAAATAATATTTTTTAAAATAATATTTTTGAAAGAAACCTTAATTTCGAGAGGTAAACCGATGATCTTAAAATATTTGCAGTCATTCTAATGGTGAACAACTGAACATTACTATACAGTTTTAGCTGTTCACGTGAAGGTATGACCTTACTAGATTTTAACAAATTATAAAGTGAGCCTCACTATAGGTTACTGTCAAACCGAATATGCTCTGTGCACGTTACATTTGGACTTTAACAGCAAAGAGCTCCCGAAAGAACTGTAAGTATGTTAAACAGTTATAATACCGTATCAATTATATACGTGTTCTAGACGGTTACGTAATATGCCAGGCGCATAAGTGAACGTAAAAGAATATTTTGAATGAGTAGTATTTAAAATTAAATATTTTTCTCTTAATCTTACCGATTGCTATTTGAAATGATGTTGAATTTTTTCACTACAAATCTTATCAATAGTGCGCTTCCGCTTTGAAATTGTATCAGATTCATAGTAGTCAATATATGAAAACGTCAATCATTTTTGAGATACTATCTTAATATCTCGATGTAAGACCCAGTCTTGTTTTCTGTATAAAATTAAATATCGATGAATATTCTAGTTTGAAATGGTGTAAGACATCCTTCAACAAAATAGTGGCGCACTCTATACTTACCTTTAGGACTGACCCCTATACGCATCGGTTGTGACTTTTAGGATGTATTCGATATATCTTTCATTTCTGTGTCTACCATTTTTAACTTTTTCGCCAGAATATGTTATATAATGATTCTCTTTAATATTAAGTTTGAGTGAGACATGATATCAAAATTTGATAAACAGTTTCTTATCCAATAGCAGGCACTGCTTTTGACAGAAATTTACAGAACGAAAGGAAAAACGATTTCTGCTCTCATTTTCATTCGTAAAGATGAATCTTTAAGCTGACCGGGTGATACTCGGAGCGGCTTCTTATTCGTCTTCACTACAAAAAATTCTTTCTTCTAGACCCACTTTTTCCTTTTAATCAGCCACTCGTTCTCAGCTAACTCTAATCGTACGGATATGAGAAAAATACATTCGCGAGTGCGAGAGCTGTAGATGACACATCTGTATGTATTTTTTAATATATGTTTTAATTATTAAGTAATGCAGAGGCGGCGGAATCGTGGGTACCATGGCACTCACAAATTTTGAAAATTTTCGATTTCTTCTAGCAGGAACTTATTTTTTCTTTGCGTTCTTGTCCTTGAGCATCCATAGTTTCAGACTCATTCCGCCGCCTCTGAAGTAATGAGTCCCAAACATTGAGCATATTTCAATAACTTTTCTATGAGATAACTGATTGCCACATGACACTTCGTATACATTCTGT